TTTTTTTTATAAACTTGATTCAGTTTTCCAACAATTTAAAAAAGACACAATTATATCAACATTGAAGACATCATTTACGGACGACTTCTGGTTTGAGCTTCTTCAGCGACAGACCGAGACAGCGTCTCTGCGAGTCTTCGATCCGTGCTCCCCGCTGGAGAGCCCCAAGCCGGCTGGTTTCGGAGCTAAGCCACCCCGTAGAGGTGGTGAAGAGGGGGGAGACTGCCTGCAGGGTTAAGGAGAGCCGCATCTCTCCTCCCCAGCTGGTCATTACTCCCTTTCCCGAAGGCGGTTGCAGCGGTGGTCAGAAATGGCCACCACAAAGAAGAACTCGACCGGAAAAGAATGTGCAGGAGGAAGATAAGAATAGAAAGTTTTGGTTGACCGGGTCAAACAGCAAAAGCAACAAATAAGGTACCCTGGAATTTAAACTTACAAAAAAAATAACATTGTTCCCTAAGATTTTTAAGCTGCGAAGGAGAGAGAAAGGGAAAAGATTTGGTTTTCTCCTTTTCCTATACTGACAGCTAAGAGACTTAAGCAAGAAATTGGAAAAAAAAATCCACTTTGACATCAATAAGGCATTTAATGCTGAAAATAAAAAGTCAAAGGGATAATAAAGATTTCTGGATAATTAAAAGCTTTTGAAAACAGGAAAGGAGAGAAAAAGAATAAAAGGGTAGGATCTGGAAGGGAGGAGACTTCCTGGAATTAAAAAAGAACTCAGGAGACCATCCTCCACCTCATCAGGAGCATCCCCAGGCGTTGTAGGGAGGTCATACAGGCACGTGGAGGCCACACACACTACTGAGCCTCATTTTGACTTGTTTTAAGGACATTACATCAAAGTTGGATCAGCCTGTAGTGTTTTTTTCCACTTTAATTTTGAGTGTAACTCCAAATCCAGACCTCCATGGATTGCTAAATTTGATTTCCACTGATAATTTTTGTGTGATTTTTGTTGTCAGCACATTCAACTACGTAATGAACAAAGTATTTCATAAGAATATTTCATTCATTCAGATCTAGGATGTCTTATTTTTGTGTTCCCTTTATTTTTTTGAGCAGTGCATATAAAAAGACCGTGCAGAAACGGACAGACTGACATTAAAGATAAAAGAAAAAAGAGCATTTTCGATCATGGGACTTATATTTTATAAATGGTTGGATAACAGAAATTAGGAGCAGGAAAAATATTATTATGTAAGCAAATCGATCAGGAAATACACTGTTCACAAAGCACTTATATACATTAAATGTATAAATAAAGTGTGAAAAAAAAATGGCCGTGCCATCGCTTCCTGTACTAGTTGCAGCTTCTGACTATTCTTCCAGGGCAGACCCAAGCAGAGCACATTGCAGCAATCCAACCAAGAGACAATCAGGTCACAAGTGACTGTGCGCAGGACTGCATGATCCAGATAAAAGGCCAGCACAAAGTTGCACAAAGACTCTCCTGGCCACAACTGCAGAATTTAACCAGTGAAAAACTTTTGCTTTTAAGCTTCTGAATCATCTAGCCAGTGGGCTCCATGAAATAACCGCAATATAACTAGGATGGAGATGTGTAATAAACCACGATGCCGTGGACTGAGCAAAAAGAAGAGGAAGGTGCGCTCTTTGGAGGGGAAAACATCCTACCTGCCCGTCATTGTGTTGCCTTAGAAGTCCCGTTTCCAGCAGGCCTGCAGAAAAGAGAAACAGGAAGTTATTAGGACGCGACGCATCAATGGCAGCTTAATAAACCTGGTTTGGGTACGAGCGATATTACGATCCATGTGCAGCGTTTCCCTACCGCTCAGGGTCTCTCCGTCCATCCAATTGCACCGGCAGCTGATTATTATTTTTTAAGAAAAGGCCTCGTTCCTGGTTTAAAATACTGTTTTTCAACTTTGCCGGCTTGAAGACGGGTGGACTTCAACTCCCAGAATTCCCCAGGCAGAATTCTGGGAGTTGAAGTCTACCCGTCTTCAAGCTGGCAAAATTGAGACACGCTGGTCTGAATGCACAGAGTTCACACACACACACACACACAAACCACCATCTATATGTGCATCGCCCTCTCAAGAGATGCAAGCAGGAGAACCGAGAGGCCTTTAGGTCACGCTTGCACTCTCTTTGCACACTCCTCCAGGGCAGAATCCGAACCCATGACAAGGACTCCCCTCTCCTGGCATCGATCAGCCTTCCCCAAAAACCAACCATTTTCAGAACTGCTCAAGATCCCCCCCAGCAGATGTCCACCCCATTTCTCTACGGAAATTAATTTGTAGAAAGACACCATATTGTAGACATCACTTCCATGC